TTTTTTTTTCGCATTTAGCACAATTTTCTTCCCTTTTTATTGCAATTAATATTATTATCAATTATTACTATCGTCATCATCATTGTTATTATTATTATTACTAGTAGTAGTAGTATTATTAAACAAACATTTAATGAAACTTGCAAAAGGATAAAAACGAAATTGAACCACAGTATCGCATTTCTATGTTAAAAGACCTGGCCTGAGATTTATGGATTTAAGATTAGAGGCTTATGTGTTCTATTAGGCCTATGTATAACGTGTACTGATGCATATTTACATGCTTAGAAGTATTCATTTTAAGTGATCCCAGGAAAGAATTTGTATGGGCTCAAGAATAAGCTTTAAAATTTTAACACTGTGTACAAAGGGGGGGAGCCGTTCGAGTGCATAGACGTTGTCTAATTGTGCTATATAAATCCATCTATTATTGTTATTATTATCTCATTCATTTTTTTTTCTAGCAGAAAGAAGCATTGTTAATGTTTTGTGTTAAAATATGAGCCGAAAACAAACTCCGAGTGATTTCCTGAAGCAGATTATTGGTAGGCCAGTTGTGGTCAAACTCAATTCAGGAGTAGATTATAGAGGTTAGTCTCAACATGCTTCAACACTTTCTCTTTAATCATACCTTTTTTTTAAAATATTGTTTTCATCAGATCATCCTGAAACAGTATGTTAATGTTATGTACAATACATTGTGCATTCCTACCTCACTTTGTGGGCTTTAGGCAAGATTTTTTTTATACCTTGTTTAGCCAACAATGATTAAAAAAAAAAAAATATTTTTGACCAATTAGCACACCCACCGCCATGAAAATTTGAATTTAAAGTTTTTCTATATTTTAATTTAATTGCCTTGAAGTCTCGAAAAATAAGATGTATTTTTTCTTCCTAAAGCATTTAACCATCCCATTACTACACTAATAAAACAAATACAATTTTATTTTCTCTAATGTCCAGATGTTTTTGGCAAATACTTAAATATGAAAACAAAATTTTACTTTAGTTTTTTTCCACCCTCCTATGATGACCTTTAAAAAAACAAGTTCGTGAAACAAGGTACAGTATCAAAAAATCCTGCCCTATAGTTATAGTACACTTACAGGTACTGTTATCTACTTTGAACTGCTTATATACAAATCCTTTCCAATTGCAGTATTAGTATTTCCTTGAAGATGTGTCAGTTATAAGATAAAAAAAATGGTAATTTTACTTCAATATTTGAATAGCTTAATTTGAATGTCTATTTCGTGAATACTTACATGGATAAACCGACAAATGCCTAAGTTTCCTTTGAAATTTACCTCTCGAGTATTAAAAGAAAAATAATGGACTCGCCCTGCGTGAATGAACAATATCCTGATTTGTTTAATTTAAACAAGCTATTAACTTTGAATTAAAAAAGAAATTTCCATTAATTTTCAGACAGTTAAATAATAACTTGCATGTATTCTTTTGCATAGATCATTAAAATTGGCTGGTGTGGTAATCAAATTTTATATGTATTTGAATTTCTTCAGTATTTTCCTGTCCTTTTGTGATAGTACACCTTTAACTGATGCATTTCATTAAATTGCTTTATCATGCAATTATTTTGACAACAATTTCGCTTTTGTCTAGGAGTGCTAGCTACATTAGATGGTTACATGAACATTGCATTGGAACAGACTGAGGAATATGTAAATGGTCAACTGAAGAACAAATATGGTGATGCCTTTATTCGAGGAAATAATGGTAAGTATTCCAATTAGGAAGGATGGAATATGTTATCAATAAGACAGATTAAAATTACAAATGTTGTCCTTTAAAAAGTGACAAATTAAAGTCATAAATTGATATTAACTAGCTCATTTTGAAGAAGGCCTACTTCACATTTTAATTTTATTTTTATTGAAATGCAAATTTTTTTATACCATCATTTGGATGAGGTGTTCAAGCCGTTGGTCCCAACTGAAATAAGTCTTCTAGACTTTCTTGGGTTATCCTTGGTATTTACACCAAATAAATTCATCAGTTCTATCATAGTCTTAAAATTCTGGCTGTTTTTTTTTTTTTTTTTTCATTTTGTATAAATGTAATTACTGTAATAGTTGATCTTGGTTACTCACAACATAGTACTTGAAATGTTGATTTATATGAATGCCATGTTTGTATACATTACTATAGTTATTTTTTTCTTTCTGTCCAACAGTTTTATATATCAGCACACAGAAAAGGACCCTTGGTGGCAGATAAGGACCTCAGAAGTTTTTTTATTATTTAATATTGTTGAAAAGATGGGCGATTTGAATGGTTTTGTATTGTAGGACAGGAAGCAAAGGTGTACAGTACTCACTAGGAAGATAGCCCTGTACCTTCATCTAGAATATATAAGAACCTCGGAAGTTTTAAGTATTTGTTGTTGTTTAAAAGATGGGCAATATGGATGGAATTGTACAGGCCGAAAAATAAGATCCACCATTATACAAGATAGTTTTCATTAAAAAAAAAATTAGAATAATAAGTACAACTCAGCACCATGATTTTGTGCTAAGACAAGTTTACTGTATATTTTATTTTTAAACACATTAACTGAAATTAACCTAAAAAAATAGCAGAAACATTTCTGCAATTTTCACTTTAGAGACAAACACCATTCATTGTCAGATAGTTTTAAAAAGCGAAACATTATTAGAAACTTCTAATTTGACCTCAAGCAGGATAACATTGCATTATGGATATGTTGGAAAGAACATCATGGACATAGAAATATAATTTGTATTGTTTTTTTGATAATAAACATACTTCGAATACAGAAAAGTTTTGTTTTGGTTTATCTATTACATTATCATCAGTATTGACCAAGCACAGTTGCAGTTTCGAATAAACATTTAATATTTGGCCAATTAGCACACCCGTCACCAGAGAAAAATTTTATTTCTATTATGCTGCCGCTGCCTTGAAATTCAAAGAAATAAGATATGTATTTTATTCCTAATTATTTAAATTTAAAGCATTTAACCATCTCATTACTACACTGTTTTCTTTTCCGCTGGAATGTTTTTGGCAAAACCATTGGCTAACTAAGAAAACAAATTTTTTTTTCCCGCCCTTCTCTGACAAAAAGATAATTTTGCGAAAACAAGGTACAAGTCTCAATGGTGATTAAGGTAGTAAGTACACTCCTACTGTAATTTCATTTTTTGCTGAATTTTAATAATGTATGGATTTTAATGATACAGTACAGTATATAGAGAGTATAGTATGAAGGAGTACAACGGGAGTAAAGCCTTTTATGCAATTGCAAACATTTTATTCATTTTCACTAAAAATACAGCTCAATGATTCCAAGACAAACATTGGCAAATTATATTCTCAGAAAAACACTACTTCATACTAAATACTCTATTAAAAACATATAAAAATTAGCATACACTATCACATCTATCTGTTAAAACATTTAAAAACTTAATCTGCACCACTGGAATCATTGAATTCATTAGCTTATTATAAGTCATGGGGAATAAAAATTTCAATGTTTTACTGTATAAAAATTAGCATAGGTCCTTGTGCATTCTTCAAATTTATTCAAGCTTTAAAATTAATGAATCTTGAAAATTGGAGGAATTAGATTTCAATGAACATAGAATATAAAAATTAGGATGCCCTATACAGTATGTTAAAACTTGTTTTAAATGAATCATTATTGGATTTAGATTTTGATGGAAACATAAAAATTAGCATACACTGTATCAAATCTATCAAAACATTTAAAAACTTATATGCACTATTGGAATTGCTATAAATCATTTTAATATATAAAAATTAGCACAGGCCCTTGTGCATTCCTTTAACAATTCCTTTAACAGCATTAAAATTAATGAATTTTAAGATTTAGATTTCAATGAAAATAGAATATAAAAAAATTAGTATACCCTATTATGTTAAACATTTTAGAACTCTGCTCTCTTAAACTTTTTAGAACTCTGCTCTCTTAAAAACTGCAAAGTTTATCAGCTTTAAATTTGATTTTTATTTAAATGGACTTCATCCTTACTAGTACAACTTCTTACATTCTACCACATGATTTAAGAGCTCTCGCCAACTCTTTTCTGTTATCACCATTCAAGTCGATAATCATTGTTTGACCATCCAGCTCAATCCTGCTGTTAATTATTAAGCTTGACTGGGTGATTATCACCAGCTTATCATATGTTTCAACTGAAAAAAATGGAATAAATTGTTTTGATGATTGATATTAATAGATTGTTTATTTGAAACTGCTGTCATTTGGCAAACCATACTGTACAGTATTTACCAACATTAAAATAGTATAAAAGTTATTTTCATCAATATTGCTTTATAGTTATTTGCACTATATTTTGATTATTTTTATAAATGATATTCATATATGCATACCAAGTACAGTACCTACAAACAAGTGTTTTTGCCAATCCAAATTTTAATATGTGATTAATTGCATAAAACTGTATGTAACATTGTGAGAAATGTTGCATCTTAATGGGGAAAAAAATCTAAGAAGCTTAAAGTCAGGCTCCGGAGGAAAAAAATTTTTTGATATGTTGTAGAACTGATTTTTCTAAGACAGAAAAAAGTTGTTTGACGAAAAACTGGGGAACGGTGAATGAGATACAGATTTTTTAATATTTAACAACTGGGAGAATAAGGTGTAAAAATGGGCAGTTACGCCCCTTTTCCCCCCAGTTTTTAAATATTAAAAAATCTGTATCTCATTCACTGTCCACCCAAACTGAAATTGATTCAATTTGTTATTCATATTACTGTAACTGCTGTTAGAGAAAAATACTGTACTGTTGTTCATAATACCACCAATACAATGGGGGTATTGGAAAACAAAATCTTAATCCTCATTCTAACCATATTTTGAGTTTACTTACATGACATTAACAATTCGCACTGCTGAAGGCAGGCAGAAGTTGATGTGAAGGACAATAACTCGCTCATTCCCGCAGGAACAGGAGCTGGTTTCTCCATACTCTGGTTGCGCAACAACCGGAATGTAGCCCCATCTTTTTTCAGTTTCGCACTCCAAACTGAAGGAATAATTATAAAATAATACAGTATTATAATGAATAAAGACAATGAAAAGACAAAATGCAGCTGATGATGACAGGAGTGATGATAATGGTAAAATTGCAGTTTAGCAGATAGTGGCGATATCATGCATTACTAAAGTTGCCGATATTTAGTGTTTACAATGACCATGCTTAACGCTGGGCACTCACTGCATAGTGCATACGTAACATGACGAATCCAACCCCGCTTCATGTGACCGCTAATTGACACAACGCCGCATGCTCATTGCTGGTGGCTGTCTGAACAGATCGTCTTAAAAAAAATATCAGTGTTGCGCTGCGTTCTTCGTAGAATCGCGTTGAACAACAACTGTCGGGTGCAGTGAATGCGCGGCTTAAGACATACATTTAATGGCAAATTTAGATGCTATGGTAACATAAAAACTACTTCATAATCATAGCCATTACTGATTGGATCAGTAAATCGTAATCAATACAATAATGTTACTTGGCTATTACTTACTGAAATCCGCAGCACACACCCTCTGCTGAAAGTCATCTGGAAGTGCATCAGTGGCACAAACTGGACACACTTCAACTACAAAACAAATTTTAAAAACTTATATTTGTAAAAGATAGAACTGTTATAAATTATCATAACTATTCATTTCCTGAAGATGACCCAATAAAGGTCGAAACATCAAATCATGCATTCCATTTCTTTATTTGGACTAACGTTTGTTCTCTGTTATGGATTAGTTACAGCAAAAAAAAAATGTGTACATTTTTTTAAAAAACATATCTAAGAAGAGTACACCATTCAGTGAAGATGACTATATGAGACACGCTGCTCGCAAAGCTATTTTATGATGCTTGGGGTGGTCAGCTGATCATTTTGGACTCCAAATAAGTATCTTTTGAGGGCTGACAGTGGAGTGCTAACCATTTGGAATTGTATATTCTTCATAACAGTCTCTTTATGACACTTTGTAAGTGTCGTGCTGATCATGGACCCTTAATGCTCTAACATTGGGGAGCAGACTATCAAACTTTTCCTGACCATTGATACTCTATAACCAAGAATCCTTATGACACTTGGAAAGCTGTTCATTAGGAACCCTCATGCTCCATAACCCCACCTGATTCCTGCCACTCGACCTGCTGCTGATATCCTAGCGACAGTGTAGTGATTTCAAGGAAACCAGACTTGTAAGTAAATTAGCAAGTGATGACAGTTTTTTTTCCTAACTTTTGCTTTTCCTCGGTACCAATGTTCAACCTTTACTGCTGTTTCTTTGTCGAAAGATTAATAATAAAATAAATGAAAAATAAAGTATATCATGATAGACAGTATTGAAACCTTTCTATAGATCAGCGAATAAAGTGCCAGTGAGGTTTTTATTGTTAATTTCATGAAGCCATGAATCAATGGCAGTAGTCAGTGCAGTTACAGTTGAGTGTTAGGTCTGAAACCAGATTGAAAATGAGAAATATATTGGTTACAATCAAGGTAAGAATACATTTGTGAAGATGTTGCTTATTCAATAATTTGGAACTTAAGGAAAGACACAGGACGATAATTATTAAGGTAATTTCTCTGCAGATATCCTCAGCATTGAGGTCCTAGCAGCAATGCCTTTGCGGAGCAGCTACCTTTCTCACCTTCTTCTACCACGTCAGGAACAGGGTGGACAGCTGGTAGGCAAACTCTACCACATCCGTTGCTGCAACACTTAGTGTCACCATCACAGTCACTATCTACCTTACACATGTTGGAACAAATGCCAAGAAGTCCATCTGTACCTGGACAATTGCCGGCTTTTACAGCCTTCGCTATAAATGCAAAAATAAACAATTAATTTATTATTTTCTTTAAAAAATTTTATTTGTATTTTTCAGAACTATTTTGAAAATTACTATTATGGAAAGTGCCATAATGAATGAAAATAAATAAAAATATAAATCAACAATCTCTTACTTTTTTAATAATTTGGTTAGATCCAATTTTCAATATATATTTTAATTTATATTATTAAATTATATTATATTATAAATTATTAATTATTTATATTTTTTAATCTCACCACAATACAAACATATTACACAAATCAGCAGTATTGTCAATGGTCATGTGTAAGATACCTGGATGAGCCAATATATCTCGAAAATAATGGAATCATCCGACCAAAGTGGCACATATAATAAAAATGCATTATGGAATAGGCCTCATTTTTTATTTCATTTAACATGACAGATTGTGCAGATAGTGGATAGCTTACAACCAGTAAATTTATGTAGTAATTAAAAAAAAGAAAAAGAAACTGGTATGCATCGATTTATCCATGTAGTATTTCACAAACTAGAAACATTGGCTTTAAACTGGGAACTCAGATGCTGAACTGCATCTGTATCACCAACCACTACCTCAACGATGAAAAAGATATGCTTAGCATCTTACCAACACATTGAGCTTTGATGTTCTTTTCATAGCCTTCTGCGCAGTCACATCGGTACCCGCCGTACGAATTTATACAAACGCTATTATTTCCGCACAGACTGGTATCAGCACATTCATCAATGTCTATAAATAAGATCCAATCAGAATCAATCAATCAATCAATCAATATTCACAAGTAATGGTATTATTATATCAATCGATTGTTCAATCTATCATTACATTATTTAAACTAATTATATATAACAGCAAAAATTAGTCTCTAGTTGTGCAGCAGTGTAATTTGCTGTATGTAACTAACCTTCACATCCACCGTCTGGGTCTGTTGTGAATCCGTTGCTACACTCACACCTGTAAGCCCCTATTGTGTTCACACACTGTAGAGCAAAATTGATTCCACACATTGGTCCCAAACACTCATCAATATCTGGGGAAAGGCAAGAGAAATCTCAATGAATGTTTGCATACGAAAAGGCATGTTTCAGACATATATGATTACATAATTAACAACCTGTACCCTGAGCAACACCTGGTGAATACATGCATATCATTTTCAAAATGCTTTCACAAACATCATTGTTCCTTCGCATTTGTGTTGATTATTTTCTTCATGTCCCATCTAAATATTTTACCTGTTGTATTTGAAGTAATTTTGTAAATAAACGTGACCATAAAGAAAACATCTCCAGAATAAGAAGAGTTAAATAATAAAAGATATAAGTAAATAATAAATTAGGCTATTATGCTAAGTATTCAGAAATCTAAATATGTTTGCATGTTAGACAAGTTTACCTTGACAATTGCCATGCTCATCCTTCGTGTAGCCGGCAGAGCAGACACATTCAAACGATCCAACAGTATTAACACAATCGTAGAATGGCACAAACCCACATGGTTCAGGATTAAAACATTCGTTTACATCTATCATAGAGAGAGAGGGAGTTCAGTAGGTTTAAATTTTCCATACAAGGGTAAATAGTGTTTGCAAGCTTGAAAATAATGATGACATCATGATTGAGTTTGCTTGCAATGAGCTACAAAAAATGAAGCAACTCAAAATTGGCAGTGAATATGTTGTTCTGTTACTGACAAAAAATCTTTTAAATTTCTGATAAAGTGTACAATATTTTTATTGTACACATGTGCCTTGATGTACAAAGTAGCTGAAACACGAAAGCAGGGAAGGAAATAAACCAGGGAACAGCCGAACAATCCCATGATTATTGATTATTAATTATTAACAACAACATGATGATCCAACTCTTACCAATGCACTGATTGTTGGAATCTGCTGAAAATCCATCCAAGCAATCACACTCGTAAGTTCCAGGTAAGTTGATGCAGCGGGAAAATTCATCACATGAATCAGGCTGTTCACACTCATCAATATCTTAAAACAAAATATGAAATAATTAGATTGGCTGAAAGTTTTCATCTATTCGTTCAATAAATTGTACTGAAGTATCGTGTGCTCTAATAAATGATTTCATCATCAGTATACATATCAACATGAACATTAGGATGAAATTCAGTAATTGTTAGGCAGGTCATTACAAATAGGAAAGAGGAAGTGGAAATCTGAGGGACAATATTCAACCAAGAACTTAGAGAAGACAATGTGCAACCAAAAAGAAGGTTCTGAGATCTAGAAGGTCAGATTTATCTAGTTGATTATTGAGGGGGAGAAACTATAGCTTAGTTTCCATACAGGCATCTCTGTGATGTTGATTGGTCGGTCGAAACAGGAAGCCTTTCCGATTGTGCTATGCAGTACAACGACTGCAGTGAAAACACTAGCGACAGTGTAGCGATTGTATGGAAACCAGGCTTGTAAGTAAATTAGCAAGTGATGACAGATGTTTTTTTTTTCTTAACATTTGCTTTTATTGCTGTTTTTTGTCGAAAGATTAATATTAAAATAAATGAAATATAATGTATATCATGATAGACAGTATTGAAACCGTTCTATAGATCAGTGAATAAAGTGCCAGTGAGGTTTTTATTGTTAGTTTCATGAAGCCATGAATCAATGGCAGTAGTCAGTGCAGTTACAGTTGAGTGTTAAGTCTGAAGCCAGATTGAAAATGAGAAATATATTGGTTACAATCAAGGTAAGAATACATTTGTGAAGATGTTCCTTTTTCAATAATTTTGGAACTTAAAAGGGGAGACACAGGACGATAATTATTAAGATAATTTCTCTTGTCAAATTTTAAAATAGGTGTGATTTTATACCTCATCTATATAGAAATAGGTTAAAAATGAACTATTAGGTGTGGTGTGACATTAGGAGCAGAAACCTTCCATCGAATTTGTCTAGTTGGTAGGAAATGTGGTGCAGGAAAAGGTTTACATGAGTCAGTGATCAAATATTAGTCTTGTTTTTCATACCTTGACACAGGTTATCATCCGAATCATATACATAACCAGCTTCACAGTCAATAGCTTAAAAATAAAAGTTATCATTCATAAATGATAATAAAATATGAAGAAAATTAAAAACTGAAAGTTAATTTAAATGGATCAACGTCGAATAAGAAACATAAGCATGGTAATCAGAATTGTCATAACAACAACAATAAACATGAAATATTTCCACTTTAGGAAATGCTCAAGGCCACCTTTATCATTACTATCAAACACAATTAACAGCACACTTTAAATTGTAAAAACTCACCAACTGGAACTGTTGGACCTTGAATACATTCACATATTGGGCAGCCATTGGCATCCAAAACATTTCCAAACTCACAAAACATCTTACAAAGTGGTGGACAAACCACAGGCTCTGGAAAACAACACGAAAATTATTTTTAAAAACTAGACAACCATATAAACATGCAAATAATAAAGCAATATAAAAAGCAAGACAGGAATTTTAAAAACTCACCAGCTGTAACTTCTGGACCTTGAATACATTCACATATTGGGCAGCCATTGGCATCCAAAACATTTCCAAACTCACAAAACATCTTACAGAGTGGAGGACAAACCACAGGCTCTAAAGAACAACACAATATAATAAATATTTTTAAAAAAATAGACAACCCTATAAAAAATAATAAAAGCAATGTAAAAAGCAAGATTGGAATTATTTAAAACTCACCAGCTGTAACTTCTGGACCTTGAATGCATTCACAAGTTGGACAGCCATTGGCATCCAAAACATTTCCAAACTCACAAAATATTTTGCAAACTGGTGGACAAATGTTAGGTGCTAAATATAGAAAAATGAAATAGATTAATTGTCCAGAGAGCAGTTGAACCCAATATAAATCAACAACTATGCGTCAGTGTCTAAGATCAAGTGTCAGATTCAACACATGAACTTCTGATTGAAAAGTTACCAGAGCACAGATTCTGATATATTATTTACATCAAAAGTAGTGATGAATTTTTATACATAGTTTATTAATGATCCATTTCTTCTTCATAATTTTTTTAAAAATCTCTTGAGGAAGTATGTTCAAAGATGTTATCGGTACGAGTCTAGCAATCTATATTAGTTTGGTTGACGTCATAATTATTCTGTCCCGTCACTGCTTGATTCTGGGGCCCAGTGGCGGTGCCAGCGGGGCTAAATCCCCCCACCAGACAGGTCAAGCCCCCCCCCCCCGCCGGACAGAGCTCGTCGGCAGTCAGACCATAAAACATATAAAAATAGGCCCACAACAAGCCAACACATGTCTGTCACAGTCTGAGAG